GAGAGAGAGAGAAAGAGAGAGGAAGCGCCTATTAGCGATAATTTTAGGACTCGAAACTCCGCTTCATTCAACGCGAGTGATTCCGCGCGTATATATAGATAAGTAGAAAGAAGGGAGGAGAAAAAAGCGAGAGAAGGGGAAGAAAGGAAACGAGAACTGTGTTGTCGTCTATCGGACTTCGTCATTACTGTGAATTTCGTTCGTGTCGGAGATAATTTTACGGACGTAATTCGTTATTCGTACGTATACGTATGTGTAGTCTCTTTTATATGTCACGTCCGGCGAAACGACGACGCGTGTGAAAATTGCCTTTGCGCTTACCGGCCCTACGCGAAAGGGTTAACGTAGTGTGACGCGTGTCACACGATGTCGCATAGTGCACGGCCGAATCAGAATCGCTGCTGCTGCTGCTGCACGTATGATGTACGAGAAATACGCGAGAAATCGGCCGCAGGAGGATAAAAGACGAGTTGACAAAAAAGAGCGAGGAAAAGGCAGTTTTCATGGACGCGCGCGCCGCGTTAGACCTAAAGAGGAAAATTGTGAAAGAGCGTATGAATTTCCGAGTGATACGCGATACGACGGTCTGTTGTTTTGTTCAGCGTTCTTCTTCCGTGGTGACCCTTTCCGTCGAATTCCCGAGCGGGGAATTATTGCGGAAGAAGAATGTAGCGGTGCGACGCGAAACGAGACACACGCACACACACATACACACACGTGTTGCGACATACGTACACACACACACACACACATACACACCGACTGCGTTAGAGATAGGATCGAGTGCACTCAGTATTACCAATATTACTTAGCAGCATGTTCTCAAATCTTTCACGAGTACTTCGAAATATTCCAAATCGAAGAGCATACATGTATATAATAGCGCGTTTTATATATGTTTTTCTTTTTTTACTCACATACGTAACCGCAGCAATGCGCGTATTATTATGAGTGAACGTGTGCGGTCGGTCACGGGAAAAAAAAAGGGCGCGCTTTTTCCCCGATGAGTTTCGCGACGCGTCTCGCGTCCGATAGAAAAATAGCCCGAAACGATAGAAAAGTATCCTGAGAATTACTAGGAAACAAATTCTCCTCTCCAACGCGGAATGCTTTCCGAAATTTATCAATAGGAAAAAGTGTCGCGATCCTTCTGCGACTGACACATACCGCATACACGTGTGGATTTTTACTTGGAATAGTGCGTGTACGGTTGACGTCATATATGCCGTATCATTTCCTAGACAGAGAGACAGATACAATTTTCAGCCTTGTATGTAACGCATAAAGTTGAAAATCGCAGAGGTAACTCTAGTTATAATGGTAGGGTCACGGTGACTCTAATTATGATAGTTTTAACTCTTTATGTAAAATGCTAAAAATTGCGTAATGATAAAAAATTTCAATCTGGAGAAATGCTACAGCGTACACGACGCTGACTGTACACCGATGTTGCTGCTGCTATGTCTGTAAGTGAGAGAACATAAAAATCTCATCGGTCCGAGTGTACTTTATGAAGTTTCAATTACATTTCGTACCGATAGAGAGTTCGGCACTACTGTACCCGTGTCAAATTAAGTTTTCATCTCGTAGTGAGTGCTTCACACAAGTGCGCGAAATGAGTTCACGATGTGTTGAAAAATACCGATTCGACGTTCAGATATAATAATGTCCGATCATCGAATCCCGGGGCCGGGACACACAAATACAAGCTGAACTCAATCCTATTCCTAAACTGCGTTCTCTTTGTCGACGAACGCTTTTTGTCATCCTTGTGTATCATCTTTCTTTTTTCTTTTCACGTTGAGCGTGAAATCGAAATTATCGATCGGAGTTACGTCGCTCTCTCAATCGATGTATATTGTATAATTAGCGAAATTTATTTGTCGACCTTGTTTCGCATAGCATAAATTATCGATCGAATTTGACTATTGGACGTTCTGTGTTATATCCTTGAACCTAGTTATTTTATTCTACGTATACATATATATATATATACATATATATATATACACACACACATATATATATATATATATATATATATATATATAGAGAGGGATGGTCTTCTTCTTTCTTTATTTTATCGAAGTGAAGGAAGAAGACTTGCGCGCGTGTATCCTTCGTCTCTCGTTTGAAGAGCAAGAATAAAACGATACTGTCGGAAGTATAAATTTAACATTGTCCGCGTCGAGCCGTTTCCTCACCCATGAATCATACGCGAAGGGAACATTTTTCTGCAATTTTCACTTTCCTCTCCCGTCCCGTTGCACGCTGAAAAAAGAAGTTTGCTGCCGCGGTGGAACCATCATTGCTAGCATGACAGAAACACGAAGGAAACTTGTTACCGTGTGATTTCTTTATATATATAAAAATTTCATATATATATATATATATGTACACATACACGCAAGGTGTTAAAAAATTAAACTGACAAACTGAAGGGGAATAGAGGATTTCAAAATAAACATTTTTTGTCAATACTATTTTTCGTTACAACGTTTTGTTTTAATACTATATATATGGTATAAATGAACTAAATATAGAAAAATCAAATTCCTCTATTATAGCTCGGCTATTTCGCCGCAGCCATATTTATGACGTCATAGGTGAGAAATAATACGCGGTAAGTTTTTTTTGCGTTACTCAGCTTTATGTTAGTTTTTCCTGAGGAGGAATTTTATTTTTCCATATAGTTTATTTATAGTGTATTAAAACAAAACGTAGAGAAAAATAATATTAACCAAAAATATTTATTTTAAAGCCCTCTATTTCCTTCCAAAGTTTGTCAGTTTAATTGTTTTAACACTCTGTATATAATAAATTATATATATAATTATTATATGTATAATAAATTATTTATATACAAATTTTTTTTCATTTTTTATACTAGCGAGCTAAGCGCTGCTGTAAATATATATATATATATATATATTTACAGTGAAGCTTGCTAGTAAAAAATGAAGTTTGTTTTTTTTTAGATTGACTTTGAACGTAAAAACATTAATTTATTGTTCAAGCAAAACAATGCACATACAATCTTTTAATGGCTGAAAATGCCGAAAACCGTACACGCGGGAAGCGTGTTAACGGATGGGAATACTTTTCTGATGTAACAAAGTTACCTTCATTTATTTCGCCGCGATATATCAATGACGCGACGGAGGAAATATGTTTCGATAGCGGAATATTAGCCGCAACACATCGTTACAACGCGATCACTTTCAGCTTCGGCGGAATCTCACTTGCAACGAGCGATATTTATTTTCACTGTGTGCGTGCGACTTCGCCGTTCACACGGTGACCGATGAAATCCGCGAAGACGGCGAAAAATTCGTCGCGTCGGCGAATTCTTTTTCTCCGTGCGGTCTCGAGTACGTCGAATTCATTCTTTGCACCGCGAACATTGTTTTCGCAGCGGCAATCGTATATATATGTGTGTATACATGTATATATATATATATATATATATATACGTAGGACGAGGCAGACAGGCAAGCAAGTGAGCAAACAAGCAGCGATTCGTGGACTTGTAATAACTTCCGCACTTCGCCTATTCGAGAGCGTACGCGTTTACGGCTTACATCCTCGTGACCTACAATTGCAGAAAAAGAAAAGAGAAAGAGAGGGAAACACGTGTACACA